TTTCCTTTTTTTTTATAAACCTTCCTCCTGGATAAAAAAAAAAAAAAAAAAAACAGGGTCCTGAGGAGGATGCTCCTCCCCAGCCGCGCCATCCCAGGGAAGATGGATGGTCGGCGGGTCATGCAGGCACCATTAGCGAGGTGGCAGAGGGATGCGGGTCGCGAGCATCATCCCGGCCGCCCTCTTCCCACTCCGTCCATGTCCCGCGATGCCTGCGGAGGCCGTGGGAGTTTGGCTACCGTTATCCTGCTCTTATCAGCACTAATGCACAGCCTGTCACTGATCCCACTTAGCTCCGTGACCAAGCGCCGACCCCGGGGCGAGCCGTGTCTCCCGAGGATCCGCGCTATCTCCAGGAGCGGCTGAAACCTTGGCAGGAGCTCACGTTTTCTGATGACAAGAGACGTGGACCCACCTCCCAGCCCTCTCCCCTTGACTCCTTTGCTGCCCTCCCTGCCCCTGTCCCGTGTCTGGCACGGGCTTGGGGAAGGCTTCGCTCTTGCTGACTGAAATAGCAATGCTGATAACTGCCCCAGACAGAGCTGCGGCAACAAATTTCCATCGGGAAAACCAGCCTCAGGGAGGACCCAGCTGCCATCACCCCCCATCTCTCCCAAGGCAGGCTGGAGCCCAAGCAAAGGCTTTTCTCCCATGTTATCTCCGGTACCTTCATCTCCCGTCTGCCTGTCGTGGCCTTGTAGATAAGGGACGGGAGGTGCAGTGATGTGACCAAGGTCGCGCAGGCTGTGGCAGAGCTGGAGCCTCTGATATTACAAAGATCTCTCCCAAACATAGACGGGACACCATTTTTAGCAGCCTGTGCTGAGGGCAGAGCAAAGCTGGGTTATATCACACTTTGCATGGAGGAAACAAAGCCTCTGCAAGGAGGATCTGTTTCATGAGCTTCTGCTGCCCTGCGCTTCTTTTTCCCTTAGGGTCGTGTTGCCCTTTTGGCAGTTTGGCAAAGGAGACAAATCCAGTTGCAATCTTGGAGCTGCCCCAGCTTTGGGAATTGTGTTTTCACGTAAGGAGTCAGACAGACTTTCTTTTAGGAGATATTTCACCTTTTAACAAGTGATGAGGGAGCTCAGCCTTCCCT